ACATAGAAGAGGGCTGTCATGGGGAATTTGACACCGTTCGGGTGTTTACCTAATAAGAAGTGTTGTCGATCACCGGGATTAACCTTCAGTTTTCCCCATATGGTAGAGTCCTTATCTGACATTTGCATAACCCGAAGATTCTCCAAGAGATCCAGGACGGAAATGAAGACACCAATTAGCAACGTCTCATACGATATCTCTTAAATTCCCACTTGCCTTCATTTAGTATACAAAAAACCCTTCTGCAGCTAGCTAACCACAGCATACTTGAATGAGGGTGTAATGGAGGAGGTTTCTCACCCTTTCTTCAGGATCCAGGATGGTTATGACCTGCTTGAACACATCGATTAGCCACTGAGGATTCAGGATCACCATGTTTCGTAGGAGAGACTGCTGGTCTCCAATGCCTCCGTAGTAGACTACGTAACCCAGGTCGTGGTAGAAGGTCAGCATCGTGAGAAGTTCACCCTCAGATTCCATCCCGACTGATCGCGTCAGTTTCTTGGTCTGGGAAAATACAAATAAAATGATTTTAAAATCATCATTTGATTGGTAAAAAAAACATCAGAAACCGTATCTAACAAATAAATACATCTCATAACAGCAACATTACATTTATTTTGCACAGGGTTTAACTAAACAGAATATGAATATCTATAAAGCAATACTTTTACAGAAGGCAACATGTAGCCTGAATCTTGCGCCAAGATTTTCAAAGGCAATACATATTATCAAACACAGGCATAAACTGGGCCATTTACGAAATTGAAAGGGCATCAATCATGAATTTTCCTAACATAGCAATACATATTCCCAACAATGCCAGGAGAATTGTACGTAGCTATGAAGATACGAAATAAGGATTAGACTTACATTTGCTTGCAAATTAAATACCGTTACATATAAATCAATTTGTTAAAAAAATTCAGAATATCAAAATGGCAAATTTGAAGAAGAAAACAATAGTTCAAAGAGAATTCTTTTTTTTAATATTGGGTCTTAAAAATTGAAGTTGAAATATGAACTACACGTACATGTATAAACATTAACTCTCTAATTATCTTCCACTACAATACCTCAACACAAATTATTTTAAAGTTGCAAGAATAAACGTTGCAGTCCTACCTGATCTAATGTCATGTAATTGATTTGATCTGCAGCTAGAGCTTCCTCAAATAAGAGCCATCTGAGCGGAATCTCTTCTCCCATGTAAGGCTCTGCCATCGCTACTTTTTCAATATGTCTCCTCAACGCGACCAGCTACAAAGGAAAGTATTGGTTGATTTAATATTTAAAAAAAACTCAACAAAGTGACATGCAGCTCAAGGCTGACATTTTGTTTTACAACGTAATCATAACAATAATAATAATTACAGTGCTTATATAGCGCCTAACACTTACTTTGTCAGAAGTCTCTAAGCGCTCTACAATAATAAACATAAACATAAAAAATACGTCAGCAATATCGCAAAATAACAATGGTAACATCGCACAGCAATACTGTAAACAGATGCAAAAAAAAGTATCGAGAATGTGGATAATCGAAATCAAAATATTTAAGGCAATGCCGTTAAACATCAACGCTACATTTAATTTAGCATGTTCAGGAATATTAGGCTTATTGCACAAAAATATCGATTTAGAGTAAGAAAGAGAATAATTGTACAGATGTTGCACATAATGTTGAGAAGAATCGACAATGAGTAATGAAAGAGTTGCTATTTCTGTACTACAAGGCATATAAAAAAACAAAAACACAATATGAATGCAGTTGTATTATTACCAGAGGCAGTTACAGCATGCAGCTTGTGTCAAGTTTTCTAAGAGGAATTACTACTATCTGAATCAATGCCGGTTGATTTTAGGCAGCAAATGCCTATTATCAGTTTTCGTCAATCACAGTAGATAAAAATCAATGTCAGTATAACCACATGTACTACCTAAATATTGGAATATTTTCATGCGTAGTAGATTCAAATAATGGAAATATTATCTTTTCTGAAAAACTTCTTAGGAACCAGGTATGAAATTGAAAGTGTTTTGGGAATTATCATAATCATATAATTCTATGAGTAAAGAATTAATTTAGGATTACTATCACAACAGACTGAGATTTTATGTCAAAAGGTATTCACATCACGTCATAGAGTGAGCAGCTTTCATTATGTTCGGGTATGTCAGCTCTTTGCGTTTGGTAGAGTATCTTAATATATGCCATAATTTACGAATTTGGACATTATTTAAGAGACACAACAAAAAGATAATCAGTAATACTCTTATGTTTCAGGGTTACTATAAATTGTAATAGTTGGAGATTAGTCGTGATGTACCTCGCCATCTCTGTCTACGTCTTCAGCTGTGTCTACTAATCTGTTTTCAATGGCATAATACTTGGGGACCACATGGCATTCAAACGGCTTCTTCTTGATAGATTTACGGATCTTCTCAAAAGCAGAGCGAATCTAGAAGACAAAAAGGGTTAAATGATCAGGAAATAAACGTCCTAGTCATAATGTTAAACATGAATGCATGCCTTACTTTAGATGAGAACATAATAGTCTATGCAAACAAAAAGAACTCCGATATGTAATAGCCACTAAATCTCATTGAGGACCCCCATGATATCTCATTGGTTTTGTTACTGACAAGGAAAACAATGAGAGAAACAGATCAATGAAATATTGAACAAAATCTGTCATTAAAGATAAACTTTAGTACTGGTAATGCGATTGCATTGTGAAAGAAAAGGTGTGGAAAGGATCAGAAACAGTTGATCATGTAGCATGTAAGTATTGGTGTGCACTGCGAGGTTCTGGAGTCATCAAAATCATAATAAATTTGACTGAGTCTTGGTAAAGTAACAAGCACTCACATAGAAAGCTATATATGGGACAACTAGATGGTGTCGGGGCTAGTACTACCTTGATTTCCTTGTCTTTCTATGCTCATTACTCAGCCAGTATACATTTTCTTCCAAAATTGTTTGGCACATGTCATTTATTTGTAATCTTGAACATTCAGTGTAAGTTTCGTTTGATTCTGTGAGAATTTTTTTTTTTTTTTACCAGTACTTGAGTTTATCTTTAAATTTTGAAGTTGTAATCAATGAAACACAAATTAGCAATTACGTGACTTATCTTTTGTGATACTCTCCCATTTACTTAGTAGTTCAAATTTCATGAATTTTCATTGTCCAGCTTGTTAATGAAGGAATGGGGCTGTGTAAAAACAAGGTTGTACTGATTACATCTAGGTAACCGAAATATTTATTTAGATAAAACAAATATTTGTTTAAATTACTTTTTAATCAGATATTACTCACAATTTTACTGAATTGTTTCTCTATTTTGTTTTTACTATTAAAACCAATACTAAATCAGGGTAAAATTTTCAATTAAAATGTCCATTCACAAGAAATTAAAAATCTAAATGTTGCAAAGTTACATATAGTCAAGCTGTTTTAATGCCATAGCCCAATCCCACTGGCAAACTGATTTCTAACAGAATCCAAATGGCCAATGTAATCGCCACTCAGGGTTAGACAGAAAAAACCGTCTGGTATGGAAAATTCTTTAATAAAACTGACATTTGTCAACTGGACAATGGATCCTGTTGATGAAAAGTCTTTCTCGAATTAATTGTAAATTAAGGAGCTAAATTAGGGAGCTATCGTAAGTCAAATTAGGATATAATTTGTGCTACTGTTTACAATAACAGCGAGTGTAATCTCATGCAAAGTATATATTTCAGTTTTTGTTATTTTTTTAAAACAATAACAGGGAGTGTAATATTGAAGCCAAATTGGATAATTGTAGACGTAAAGAGTGAAAAAACTTGTAGAATCTCATTCATTTCGGTCTGTCCGAACCAATCCAATACATCCTCTCACTACCCCAAACGACGTAGTTCAGTCTCTGCATAGAGGCAGTCAGTGGAGCCAGACTTAGTCTCAGCGGAACAACCGTCGATTTTAGAGACTGAAGTTGTCAGTCAAACTCAGCGTATGGTACTTTTTGCTCGATCTTTGTCGTTTTGGTGTCGGTGTTATTGGTGTAAGTGGAGTATGAAAGGTACTATGTCCCATTTGCAGGCCAAAAAAATGAAAAAGTTAAATTCCAACTGCATTTGAAAGATAATACTAATTTAGAACTTCCCTAAAAAAGGTAGGGCTTGAAAATGTCTTCTAGTGGGAAAATAACGACTATTAGTTGTCAAATCGACTTTAGGGCTATAGAGCCCAAAAGTAATAGTCTTGATTTTCAGACAATTGTACCGAATGGTCGTACGTTTTATGCTGCGCAAAGATTCAATCAGTTTAATCTTGGCCATCACAAGAAGTTGGTTATTAATGTAGGCAAATGCTCATGTACCCTTTACAACTCTTTTCATGTATGTTATTACCAAAGAAGAAAAAAAAAGCCAGTCAGTCACTCAATAGTGTCTGACAGTGAAGTCTAGCAAGTAAACGGGTTTCCGTGCATAATTTGAATATGAGGACACTGCCAACGTTTAAATTTCACAGATAGGACATACATGACATATTCATAATTCCTGCAAAGTTCTACAGAATTTGAGGTTGGCTGCAAAAGGGACATAGTACCTTTAAGGGTATATTTCATGTTATTGTCTGTTTGTTCTCATTCTTGGTTAAAAACTCAAAATGGAGGTGGAGGTGTCGCGGCAGAGTAGGGCATTTACTTACTGCCAGGCTCTAACGTCATTTGTCAAGACATTAATCCACGTTAGCCACCCTCCATCAAGGTGTAAATGAGTACCTGGCAACTTCAGGGGTGATCACAATTGCAGGGCTCTCAGGAAAAACAGCTATTACTGATGGGGCTTCCAGGGGGTAAACACCATTCTTATTTTATTATCAACATACATGTACATCATAAACCATTACCTTTTTCTTTTTCTCTTTTGCATCTCCTTTCACGTTTTCTCGATGCGTACCAACAATGAATATTGGTGGAGATTTCTGGGCGGTTTTAGACGTATTCTTATTCCTGACCGAAGAGGGCGCCACAGCATGGGCGAAGATGGAACAACCAGAAATTGATGAACTCTAGACATGTCAATTCCGATTTGGCACCTCTTTTAGCCTGTGATTTAATTGTAAAGAAGTATGTATGATATGGCCAAGGATAAAGACACACATAAACATCATGCTTTGTAATCATTCTAACAGGGTAACGCATACATATCCTACTCCTCACATCCAAAATAATGTTCTTTTTGTTGTTGAATGATTTTGATTTACATATTACTCCGGTTGTCTCATTTTCGCTCGCTGGAACATTGCCAGCACAAACCACTGTCTTCTACCTCCTGGACGGATCATCGCCCATTCCCATTCACTATACGTTACGTACTAAAAGGCTGAATTGTCTGACCGTTCATGAATATTCATGTTTTTGCTTACCTCGGCAAAATGTTTGCTTTTACTAAATGGAAAAATTACGGTAGGGGGTTGGATGAAATGGACATAATGAACCAAGCAGAAGTGATCCATGATAATTCAGACTTCTTATTTTGTGTGTGCTTGACCTTTAATCCTACAATTGCTTGGCAAACTGAGACCAAAGTTCGACTTGTTTCACATGTGTTATATAGGCAATGGCGAGCTTGGAACCTATTTTGATCAAATTACGGTGAGTGAACTTTCAAAAGTCAATGAGACATGAGGGTTCCAATGAAAGAGCTAGTGATAACGTACGTCGGGGTGGATGTGCTTTTCGTTTAAACAAGAAATGAATTTTTAACGATATTTTCTGTAAACGTCCATAGGCTAACAAGTTAGGCTGCTGACTCTGACGATAGGGGTCGTTGTCAAATGAGACTAAACGGAGCATATGTTTATCTTCATTATCTTCCACACACAAAAAATGATTACAGCATGATAATCAAATCATATAATTAATACATTGTTACAAGCATGTACTAACATTGTAATATACTACAGCGTTGCAATTATTTACAAAAAAAATAAAATAAAATATATAATATTGAGGGAAAATACATTCTGCTATACTAACGAAAATAGAAATCAATAAAAGATGGGGTGAAATAAGATGTAAATGAATCATCAAGATATATAGCAGTACTCTTCGATTTATTGTTAGTAATAAATTACCATCTATTATGATTGGTAATTCTTTTTCTCAAAATTTGATCTTTTTAATGACTTGCCAAAGTGTGGAAGTGATTGGCAGGATGACCTTGTAGACCAAAGTGATTTTTTTTAACGGAGATGGACATTCAAAGAGATGTACATTTCAACTATTTAATCTCACACCATGATCACTGATTTCATTGCACCAACATGTACACATGTATTGATCCAGATTAAAACAGGTAGTTAAAGCTATATTAAAAAAGAGTCGAAATGTGAATGAACAAGAGCTATCATGATATTAATACTTTAAAAATACATTTTACGCGAGTAGTGAATGAACAAAATACGTAAAACTTTACAAATTAAAAATCGGCAAAAACAATGTTTGGCAAAGAAAAACACAACACTATCTATCATTAAAACATTCCATGCCCATAGGAAATAAATGAGCCTGCCGCATACTCCTGCGGCAGACTTGCCGCAGACAGTCATCTTTTCCACATGCAAATTAGTTTTGCCGCAGACTTGCCGCACCATTGTCGCATACTCTTTCAGTATCATGGATATATTCATAGAAAAGGTTATAACAAAGATTCTGCGGCAGATCTGCCGCAGACTCTTTATCATGACTATTCATAGAAAAGGCTATGACAAAGAGTCTGCTGCGGACCTGCCGCAGACTCTTCATCATGAATATTCATATCCCATAGACCTGCTGCAGACCTGCCTCATACTCTCTCATATCCAGTACCCCAGTGGACGTGGCAAAGTATGCAATCTTGCAGGAAGGCTATACTGGAGAGCCATGCATTGCATCATTACATTGACAATAAATTATCTTGGAAGGAGCACATTGATGTTATCTGCACGAATATTTCTAAAGATATAGGTATTTTAAATAAAATTAAACATTTTCCTTTAAATATTTTGATTATGATTTATAACGCCATTATATCTCCTTATTTTAATTATTGTAACCTTGCCTGGGGATCCTCAACTAATCATGAAATGAGATGATTATTATGCTTACAGAAAAGAGCTATTCGTTTAGTTTTACATGCCGATTATTTTGCTCACACTAAACCTTTATTTCTAAAATTAAAACTTTTGAATGTCCTAGATCTTTGTAATTATAGTTTTGCAATATTTATGTACTTATGTTATAATAATTTCATACCAAGTAGTCTTTCCAGCAAATTTGTCTTAATTCTGCATTACATTCATATAACACTCGAAGTTCATCTATTTATCTTTTAAATAAAATAAGACTAAATATAACTAAGAAATCTTTTTTTTTTTAAAGGGCCACAATTGTGGAATAATATACCTCAAGATATAAAATCTAGTCCATCAATTAACGTTTTTAAACGGAGATATAAATCATTTTTAATCCAACAAAATAAATAAAGATTGATTATGTACACGGTCTAGTTTTTTTTCCTCCCCCCCCTCTAATAGTTTTGTTTTGTTTTTTGTTTTTTTAAATTTCCCTCTCAAACAACAATATAATACTGTATTATACTTTATTACTGTTTTGGTGGCAGCACCAATAAAGCCTTTGGCCTTCCTAGCTGTCTCCACATTCATATATATTTTCGTTGTTGTATTTGTATTGTAAATGTTTCTCTTTAACTTGTACGCTATGTTTTGTATTTTATATGTTTGTTATGATGTTTTTATGATGAATGAAATAAAGTTCAATTCAACTTCAATTCAACATTCTAGCACCTTGAATTAGTAGAAACAGCTAGAACAAGCGGAATTGCTTCAAAAATTCTACAATGTAACACAATGCAGAAGTTGAGGTATATAGTAGGCCTAGTATATAGGAATACAATAACTGCATACACATAGTCCAGAGCAGAGTCACAGATCCATGTGCTACTGTGCACACATTTACAACAAAAAAGTGAGTTAGTGGGCCTGAATATAAGATCACATGGCACAACAAAACAGTTTGAAACAGTCCGTTAATTCCTCAGTCTCCTCTTATGTAACAAATTCCTCCTACCAGTTAGAACTTGAAGTAAATTGTTTGGTTTGACAGAAGCTAAAAAGACAATTAACAGTGCCTAACACAGGAATTTACAAGATCATGCTGGGCTCAGCCTGCAACCTCATGGTACTTGATTGGTTGCATGGTCCTCCATAATGGCCGCCCTGTAGCCTTGCTGCAGACTGTATAATTTCCCACTTTTCTGTGGCAGATCTGCCGCAGACTGTTCCTGTGGCATACTGGTATGCAGCAAGTCTGGAGCAAAGTTTCGTCCTGCCGCAGATCTGCCGCAGAGTGTTCCTGTGGCATACTGGTATGCAGCGAGTCTGGAGCAAAGTTTCATTCTGCCGCAGATCTGCCGCAGACTGTTCCTGTGGCATACTGGTATGCAGCAAGCCTGGAGCAAAGTTTCATTCTGCTGCAGATCTGCCGCAGACTGTTCCTGTGGCATACTGGTATGCAGCAAGTCTGGAGCAAAGTTTCATTCTGCTGCAGATCTGCCGCAGACTGTTCCTGTGGCATACTGGTATGCAGCAAGTCTGGAGCAAAGTTTCGTCCTGCCGCAGATCTGCCGCAGAGTGTTCCTGTGGCATACTGGTATGCAGCGAGTCTGGAGCAAAGTTTCATTCTGCCGCAGATCTGCCGCAGACTGTTCCTGTGGCATACTGGTATGCGGCAAGTGTGCAGCAAAATTTCTTTCTGCCGCATAATTCGGGATACTCTTTGCCGCAGACTAAAAGTCTGCCGCAGAACTGAAGCAGGTCTGCGGCAGGTCTGCGGCATACTTTTCCCTATCCTGTGGGTGTATAGCATAATTTATTTTTATCAAGCAGTATAAAATTAAATAAAGAAATACCATTTCATAATACTCGTCTCTGGATTCAGAGGGAACGACAGAATCCAAACTTCTACTGAGATCAAAGACAATCACATAAATGGCTCGCCACGTCAGAAACACCTACGAGAGAAGGTAATGAAATATTTATTAACTACCATGCTATTTTGTTTCTATATGCTATATTATTTATATAATGGACCTCAGGCATTGTTTATATACGATTAAGAACTACATAATTCATATCCCTTGTAAATTTGATTATTTTTTTATTTTTATTTTTATTTTTATTTTTTTATTTTTTTATTTATTTATTTATTTATTTATTTATTTATTTTTTTTTTTTTTTTTTGGGGGGGGGGGGGGGGGGTTGTTTTTTGTAGCTCATGAATACAAGGTGGAATGGTTGAACTAGTGCCTTTTTTTAAAAACTATTTGTAGATGTAAACTTTAATATGTCACATTATCAAGAAACATATATCTGGATAAATCTATTTTTCATAGACTTAAAAGGGTGGAATAATGTGCGTATTAAGAGTATATGAATCCATGTGCCATGATTCTAATGCATTATATTGAGACAATGGAATAATAGTCTCAATTTATAAATTCTTTGAGAATGAGATATCTACACTTAAACTGATCAGACAAAAATCAAAGGAGAAATATCAAATATTTAGGACATGAATGCCAGGATGAATGTATGAAAGACTGTAGTAAATCAAATGTAATTTTTTTAAAATTTATTCTAGAATCAAACAATACTTTTCACATTTGCTTTCATGACACCACGGTATAATTTACAAGGAATCTAATGTTCTTAAAATGTTTTTTACCTGATGGGTTGTGTAGTATATGTCTTGTCCGGCAAAGTCCCATATACTTAGTGAGACTCCTTCTCCTCTACCGCTATCAGTCCTGTCTGTTCCTATCTCCTGAGGAATGAAGAAAATGAATACACACCTATATGAACAATTATCAAAATAAATTTCATGAAAATTAATGGGAACATCAGTATTGATCCTGAAAACAATCACAAAACCTCTTCGTCCAAACTTGTATCATAAAGAAATTTTCTATATCACATATACTGCATCATTTTTGAATAGCAGAGTATGAGCAAAAAAATCCAGTATTTAAAGCAAATTACCATTTGGTATCCTATTCACTCCAGTGCAGCAAACAAGAATGTAAACAGTCTGACAGGTCTCTGAAGGAACAGCAAGTAAAATAAAAACAGTTTTTGTTCCCTTACAAGATATTTTTTTCCATGGAACCCTTGATATTCTTTCTCACTCTCAAGTGCCTGAGGATCTTTTCACCCCAATCCTGACACCAAACAAGTTTGAGATCAGCTGGTATGCTTATATGTATGTTTTCTGGGATTTATAAACACTGGTAATTTCCATCCTTCCCTCTTTCTGGGTCGAGTAGATTATCTGCAGTTATACACTCCTGTGGTAACAAACCATAATCCGATGATACCATTAACTGTCGCAAATTAGCATACCCATTGTCAGAGGTGAATATATATGTGTACGATTGCAGTCACTTCTCTGTAAAAACGTTTATGTTAATTAACATAACCGTTTAAGGTAATACGCAACACTAATTTTCGAGACAGTCATATAGTGAACCTGGTAATTTCTGTTAGCTGCGACTCATTACATCTTGCTAAAAGTTGTTATGCTGTGGTAACACGCAGATAGATTATGCATGCAGTATATAACAAAGAAGTGGAAGATTGTAGGATAAAAACCAAGGCATTGTAGAAAATCGTGTACATTTTAACCCACGTAAAGATACAAGGTTCAAAATTGAATTCTACCTTAAGGTGAACTTGTTCCTTAAGCATTTTCTCCACCAGACTTGATATTTGATTTGGCATATTGTCATCCTCCTCTGTAGCCTTGGTCGCCTCCATATTATCCAAGACAAATCCTTCTGTAATAAAAAAAAAAAAAGGAAATACATATATGTGTTTGTAGGATATATACGCTCATAATTAATCTACATCTGCCACTCTCCGCTCAGGTATTAAATGATAACCAAGAAGGATGCGAACGTTAATGTGGTTAGATTGGCATGTCTGCGTTTGTAAATTGGCGCCTGGCCAAAATGGAGCATGTGCACTATCGTTCGACCACCTAAATAAAGCCTTCAATTGTGAATACTTTTATTTAATCATTATTATGAGAATATTTCTTGTAACTGATATTTAATAGATCAGAATTGATTACAGTTTAAATTCATCACTGGATAATAACAACCTCTGTGTGAAAGCACTTTAAAGGGAGTTTTAACATATAACTACTAATTTGTTAACAACTTCTATTGATGATTTATATTTTACGGACGATGAATTAAGGATTGATCGAGTGTTCAGAAAACAAAGAAACAAAACAATCAAACTAAAAATAACAAAACACAAAACAAACACATACACATACCTGCTTTTACAGGATTCAGGCCTCTGTCGAGAGTAGTATCGCTGTTTGGTTCTAGACTTTCTTGATCCTGTACACAAAATAAACCAGTGTTAAGATTGTCATCGATCAGTTTGCACTAAACCGCATCACAGTTTGCAACTATAAATGCCCTTTTAAAGGTAGGTGATGAGGTGATCGTTAACACTGTCATTCTGGACCGGTCTAGAGTAATCTATTGTGTCATTGCATGACTAAGAACATGACTTAACAGATGCAAAACAGCTAATACATCTACTAGGGTTTATAAATAATTGAATGGCTAATACTGAATTAAATGTAAACTTGTGTTGAAGTAATGAAATTGAAGTTCATAAGAGCATGATAGTATAGAATCCGCTTTCTAAAAAAAGTGTACATATTTTGTTGCTGTTAGAATTGTGTATCAACATTTAATATCATAAATGAAATGCATATGGAAAGGAAACACTAACTCCGACATGCTGTAGTGCAGCGTTTTTAACCTTTCTATAGTCGCGGCAGTGGTTTGATCACATCTAAGAATGGACAGGTCTCACATACTCAGAAGCCAAAAGATTAGCACAGGATAGAAACGAATGGAGAAAGACAACAAGAAGATGTGCAGATGTGGTCGCCAATCGCCAGCAACTGACAGCGGCAACCAGGTAACCAGGTAACCAGGTATAGTCGCGGCAACCTTTTGAAAAATAAAAATCTTTCTGCTCCTAAATGTTATGGGCAAGCGAACCGAACAAGTGTGGTAAAAGGGTGATTTCGATATTAAAAAAGATATATTCGAGCTTCACGCTGTCAAACGAGAGTAACTATATACCTAAAATCAGGCACTTCACTGCCTAAAATCCTACTGTTTCTAAATGTGGCGAGAGACTGAAGTGAGTGTGGGAAAAAGACTCTTAATTGTCTTTTCAACGTTATTTCTTCAAGAAAATACACAACGGTTTTTTTTCTTCACGAAATTTATGTTTATTTTAAAATGGATCAACCCCAAAAATATTGAATTAATTTTCTCTCACGGCACCCCACGGCATCCCAGTTGAAAATACGCTGCTGTTATGCATTGTAGTCTGAGACAGGCCATATAATTATCATTTTATACTTACTACTCAGGTTTATTCAGCAGCTTTCCAATTCATTGAGCAAATTATTCGTTTATTTTTCTTTTTCTGGCAGAATTTAACATCTTCTTCATAATCGTAACCCACGACTACATTTACTTGCATAGAGATTTTAATTTGGATTACTAAACAAGATAGCCATTTTATTCTCTCACACTGGTTTTCCCTTAAATCAGAAAGACAATATCTGCGTGGAGATGATTATTACCTGTGTTGGGGTCACGTTCAGCATCTTTACTTTTGTATCCACACGGCCTTTAATATATTCATCCTCTATGAAAGTAAATCATACAAAAACAATATTATACTATGGTATCATATATTACTTTGTTATGGATTTAATTTGTATGATTTTAATGAACAATATGATGTGCAATCCTGCCTTTGTAGCAGGTTATACTTTACCAGATTTATTTGTGCCAATACACATCTTGTCTAAAATATAATTTTCTTTCAGACGTTGGCTGAAAAGTGTATTTTGGGGGATGGATTCTAACAACGTGCTTTCCATAATAATAAAACAAAAACATGATTGTACAGGAAATTAGAAAATAGTTAGAAAATACTATGCAGTCTATCAACCAATTTGCTAATTTGACATTTACTGAGCAAAGACTTCTTATATCCACATTACCACTGCAAGAACTATAACGATATGTCAGGAAACGTGTCAGACAGTAATAATAATGATGATGATAATAAAATAATAATAATACTAATGGCGATTATGATATCAATTAACATGAAATAAACATGAACAGAAATGAAGTTAACAACATGAATGTCATCATTTGTCATTATTTTGTATTAAACTTTATATCTATGAACGATGAATAAAGGATTGATCTAGAATTAGGAAGAAAAAAAAAAAAAAAGATGACAAACAGCGTAAATAAACAACGCAAACAAATTAAGCCTAACACAAACAAAACAAATATATATTCACGAACCTGCTTCTACAGGATTCAGGCCTCTGCCGAGAGTAGTATCGCTGTGTGGTTCCAAACTTTCTTGAACCTGTACACAAAATTAAGCAGCATAAATATTGTCAGCGAGCAGCTTGCACTAACCGCATCACAATTAGCAACTACAACTACTTTTTTTAAGTGGTTGATGAAATGATCCTTCTCTTTTTTCGTTTACACTGTCATTCTCTGCTTGTCTAGAGTAATCTATTGTGTCATTGCGTGACTAAAAGCACGACATTCTAGATGCAAAACAGCTAATACGTTTACTGGGGTTTATGAATAATTGAAGGTTAATACCGAGTTAAATGTGAACTTGTGTTGGTCTAATGAAAATAATGAAAATATATTATCATGAAGGAAATGCATATGTAAAGGAAACAGCGACCTTGATACTGTAGTGCAATATAACATCAGACAACCCATACAATTATCGTTCTTTACTCACTGCTCAGGTATATTGCTATCAAACTCATAAAGCACAATTTCCGATATCATTTAGTTGTTTGAATGACCCCCATGAATAAAATAAAAAAATATTCTGGCTGAACTTCACTTTTCCATCATAATCATAACTCACTACTACATTTATTTGTTATTTTATAGAGATTTTTATTTGGATGAAGAAGTACGATAGCCATTTCATTCTCTCTTATTCCCCAGTCACACATAGACGCCGCTTCAACTACGATGGAGAACTGGCCGATAGCGTTGCCAATTAGGGCCAAACGTGGGCCAAACGTGGGAGGATCTCCATTATCGTGGTTTTGGTCGGGCGGAATCTTCCAGGTCGGAAAGCTGCATGCTGTGACCACGCTTATTTTGAACGTGCACAACATAAGCGGGGTAAAGTATTATTAAGAACGTAGTGGTAACGCCATTATCGTACAAGCAGCGTGGTAGCATCGTGGTGAGATGTCTGTCTAAAAATCTCCTAATAAAAACGAAGCACGGGCGGCAACTTTGTCGAGCCGCTTTATTCCGTTCATCTTCGAAGTTGGGAAGAACTAAAGGAATGCTTGAAAAACCCCGATGTATATAGACATCGCCACAAATCGTAGTAGAAGCGTACTAGAAGCATAATATGATCAGCACCATCGTAGCGACACCTACATAAGCGATCCTGTACGTTGTAGCGACAAGGTAGGGAAACGACCACTTGGTCGGCATTGGTCTAGGTGTAATCCTAGTGACAGCGAGTCAGCAGCGCTTTTGATGTAAAAGCATCGCAGTACAGTCGTGATGTTGTCTTTAATTTGCCAAATTGCTGTATTTAGCCGGCGATTATGACCCGATTTGATAACTTTTTTCAGATCGGGGTGGTCGGCATGGTCTTCGTAATGTCGCAGCGATGTGAGACCGGGTTATTACTGGTTTACCTCAAATAAGACAAAAATGATATCTGTATTGAGATAATATTTACCTCTGGTGGGGTCACGATCAGCCTCTTTGCCATGTCATCCGCAAGAGCTTTACTATATTCAGCCTCTTTGAAATTAAATCATCATATATCATAAATTACATTGTAATATAAGATTGTATGGTTCCAGAGTAATTTATATTACATACTCTACGTGATTTAAATGAACGATTTGATGTGCAATCCTGCCTTTATAGCAAGTTAAAAATTACCAGATAGCTAGAAGTATGATTTGATGTCATGCAACTCCTTAAATTGCTTTAATACACTCCTTGACTAAAATATAATTTTCTTCAAACTTATGGCTGGAAAGGTTATATTTTTTGTGTGACTTCTAACAAAATGTTATCCATGATAAGAATACAAACTTTGTAGGGTAAAGAAGCTTTTGAAAGAAATTGATTTAAAACAGAAGTATGATTGTACAGGAAATGGGAAAGTTGTTATATTTACATAGCAGTACAAACACAGTGGTATTGTCATGACATTGTAAGGACAATTCAGTTCACTTCTTATATCCATATTACCACTGCGAGAACTATAACTTTGTAATTGCTACGTCAGGAATCGTTTCACACAGTATTAATGATAATGCTAATAACAACAAAAACAATAATAATACTAATGGCAATAATGATAAGAATAGAAATAGGCATAAAAGTCATTTATAAACCACAGCCACCATGTGTTTAAAAATTGTAGCATTAAGATATTAAAATGAAAAGGTACGCTTTAAGTTTTGATTTAAAAGTGTTTTCCGTCCTCATTTGTCACCAACAGTCTGATGTCAGAATTAAGGATATACTTATGCAGAGAATGTAATTTTTCTTTTGATTAAGGCAAATCTTGTTTAAATTTCTACTTACCTTTTGGATCTTCATTCCCATGTCCTTTTTTGTGAATTGACCACATTTTTTCGCCAGCCTTTGCAACCTCGATACAAATTTCACATGCGTTTGTTGTTTCTACACCGTCCGTTATTGCCTCATTTTGATCAAATCTGAAGCAAATTTAAAAAAATGATTATATTAATAATAATAATAATAATAATAATAATAATAATAATGATATTAGAACAAATTAGAATAATAATTGTAATATAAATAAAAGTGTTAATAATAATAATAATAATAATAATATTAATGATAATGATATATACGCAAAAGTATTCAAAACGTTCAACAAGCTGAATTCGGTAAAATCAGACAAATCCGATAAATACATTTTATAAATATTCCGCAGTTAAAATCACCAAATCTAAATCACTAAATGTATGTAAATTTCAAATTGTTGAATGATGTGAATTCAATTGTAAAATAATTTGTGACGTAATTGGGAATGAAAAACTCTCCCATATGTTGCAACAAAATATATCATGAATTTCAGTTCTTTCCATAGCACCTTGTCCCATGTGGTTGTACCACAAGTTTGAAGTTTGAAGTGTGTTTGTTCCACATTTACATAAAAAAACAAATTTAAATTGTTCTCTTTTCTTTTTTGTACAAGTGTAAAAGCGAAGATTATAAAAACAAATATAGAGATTTCAACTCAAGTATAAGTTTCGAAATATAAAGATATGACAGGCAAGGTAATACAATGTAAAATGCGGGGAGCCTAAATATAAAGCATAGCTTGTATGTGACCTGTCTTGAGTAAAAAATAAAGTAAGTCTGAATTAAAAAGGTAGAAGAAGAAAGAAGAGGAGGAGGAAGAAGAAGAAGAAGAAGAAGAAGAAGAAGATGATGATGAAGCAATTGATGAAATCAAAGGCATGGCAAAGTTAAAAAAAAAATCAAAGTCGGTATAACCACCTGTACGATCTATAGTTTAAAATAATTAATGGAGGGGCGTTCAACTAGTTCGTTATTCAGGCTGTTCCAGATATTGGGTCCAGTAAAAGTAATTGTTTTGTTTGCAAAAACGGTTCGAGTTCGAGGGAGATGAAAATGATACGTCTGTCTAGTAGGATAAGAATGTATATATAATGTATGTATATAGATATGCGATGAAAATAGGGGACGAAAGCATCTGGTAAATTATCTGTCGACTGTTCATATATAACTATTTCAAGAATATTACAATTTGGAAAGCTATGCAAGAAAACCAAAATTATTCATTATTCTAACAGCCCGTTTGTGTACAATATTAGCTTTGTCCATAAGTGTTATAGAGCTATTTCCCCATGCGAGTATACAATAAGATAAGGCAAGATAAAGGTAAAATAGAGTAGAAGCATGACATGAGGAGGTTCAAAAGGTTTCAACGTATTCATTACACCAGAGTAAGTTAATATGACTGATAACAAAGTTGTCTATTTTTTCTCAAGTGAATGGAAGAAATACATCATACAGAGACAAATAAAAAAAAAATAAAAAAAAGAAAAATTACAGAGGGGGGGGGGGGGGGGGGGAATTTCAAAAAAAAAAGGGAATAATAAAGAGATTACCCTTGTCCTGTAAGAGTTTTCTTTAGACTTGTCTTTCCAACACGTTCTTGTCCCACAAGCATCAGGCGCGTTCGGAATACTTTCTTCGTGCCAGCTTGAGCTGCTTCGGCATACGCTCGTCGTGCTCTCGGCCCCCGAGCGAGGATCTCAGGCGGTGCCGAAAGACCACCGAAGGAAATATCATCCCGATTGCTCTCCAAGTCATGTTTCAGAGATGTCAGTTGGTCGTCGTTTCCCTCGTTATCATCAGTATCATCTTTAATAATGAAGATCAAACAAACACATCAGGATAAAGACACAAATTTGGCCTGCCACAGAAAACAAAACCGTTCTAAACTATACAAAAACATGAAAAAAGGCATGGACAACAATCATGGTTAAAATCTTAAAGTTTGGGTTTTGATATGTCTGTTTCACTTCGCCGCTTACACTTAAGTCACACCGCAGAAAGCGACTCCACAGCAACTCCAAAGTGACCGATTTTTGGGCAGGGTGGGTAATATATCTTTCTTTCTATTTGTTTTGTTTTTTGTTTGTTTGTTTGTTTTGTTTTTGGGGCATTTGATTGGCTGACAGCAAAATTGTCATAGACATTTGTGACGGCCTTGATGGTTAGACCAGATGGTTTTTGGACGATATGGTAATGAGACAAAATAGAATTAGAAAGAATACAAATAGACGAAATTAAATTATAGACAATAGGGAATATGATGCTTGGACCAAATTGACCAAAGTGACTTAATAAATTGGGTTTTGAGCAGTTAATATCACGCAAAAGGGCAATGAAACCAAATGATAATGGACCAAAATGCCCGAAAATGTATAAAATAAAGATTAGACGAATTAGCCATTTTATCAATTTCTTACAGACAAGCAGCTATTGTCATGCCGGTAAATTGATTAGCATGGTGACTGGTCGTAACGTTGGTTGACCATATATAGCGGGTATATTGGGTTTACCCATGTAAACTGGGTAAAGACTAAATGAAGTTCGACGAACTGGGTGTTGGATCAACTGGCATTGGACCAAATGACAATACTTAATTTATTTTGATTGACATTGGTTCTTTTAGGACCAGGAAAATGAGATGAGTATGGTGCTACCATCTGGGTGAGCGTGGTAAAAGGTTATTCTTATTTATCCTTATTTACATCGTATTAATCTACGTGGGGATATTTTATCAAATACCTTTGCGAAAAAAGAAAGGACAAACAGAAAGAAAATGAAAGTATTATGATAGCTTAGTCCCTATCAATGCATCGCTTTTTGACAAGAAATATTAATGCGAATCATACCTTTAGGTGATGCTTCTTTCCCCCGTGCTAGTCCACTGGCGAGGTACTGAACTACGTCAAGATGTCCTCCTTGTGATGCACTAAGAAGTGGTGTTATACCATTATTATTGTCCCTCTCTACCTGTGCTCCTTGACTAACGAGGTACTTAACTACGTAAAGTTGACCTCCTTGTGATGCACTAAGAAGCGGTGTCCAACCATTATTATCACCCTTCTCTACCTGTGCTCCTTGACTAACGAGATACTGAACTACATCAAGATGACCTCCGAGTGATGCAAAATGAAGTGGTGTCGAACCATCATTATCACCCTTCTCTACCTGTGCTCCTTGACTAACGAGATACTGAACTACATCAAGATGACCTCCTTGTGATGCGAAATGAGAAGATGTCGAACCATCATTATTACCCCTCCCTACCTGTGCTCCTTGACTAACGAGATACTGAACTACATCAAGATGACCTCCTTGTGATGCGAAATGAGAAGGTGTCGAACCATCATTATTACCCCTCTCTACCTGTGCTCCTTGACTAACGAGGTACTGAACTACATCAAGATGACCTCCAAGTGAGGCAAAATGAAGTGGTGTTGAACCATTATTATTACCCCTCTCTACCTGTGCTCCTTGACTAACGAGATACTGAACTAAATCAATATGACCTTTGTGTGATGCATCATGAAGTGAAGTCGAACCTTTATTATTACCCCTCTCTACCTGTGCTCCTCGACTAACGAGGTACTGAACTATGTCAAGATGACCTCCTTTTGATGCAAAATGAAGTGGTGTCGAACCGTCATTATTACCCCTCTCTACCTGTGCTCCTTGACTAACGAGATACTGAACTACATCAAGATGACCTCCTTGTGATGCAACATGAAGTGGTGTCGAACCATCATTATTACCCCTCTCTACCTGTGCTCCTTGACTAACGAGATACTCAACTACATCAAGATGACCTTCGTGTGATGCATCTTGAAGTGGTTTCAAACCATTTTTATCACCCCTCTCTACCTGTGCTCCTTGACTAACGAGGTACTGAACTACATCAAAATGACCTTCGTGTGATGCAAAATGAAGTGGTGTCGTACCTTTATTATTACCCCTCTCTACCTGTGCTCCTTGACTAACGAGATACTGAACTACATCAAGATGACCTTCGTGTGATGCATCATGAAGTGGTGTCGAACCATTTTTATCACCCCTCTCTACCTGTGCTCCTTGACTAACGAGGTACTGTACTACATCAAGATGACCTCCAAGTGATGCAAAATGAAGTGGTGTTGAACCATTATTATTACCCCTCTCTACCTGTGCTCCTTGACTAACGAGGTACTGAACTACATCAAGATGACCTCCGAGTGATGCAAAATGAAGTGGTGTCGTACCATTATTATTACCCCTCGTTACCTGTGCCCCTTTACTAACGAGATACTCAACTACATCAAGATGACCCTCGTGTGATGCATCTTGAAGTGGTTTCAAACCATTATTATCACCCCTCTCTACCTCTGCTCCTTGATTAACGAGGTACTGAACTACGTCAAGATGACCTCCTTTTGATGCAAAATGAAGTGGTGTCGAACCATTACTATTACCCCTCACTACCTGTGCTCCTTGACTAACGAGGTACTTAACTACGTTAAGTTGACCTCCTTGCGATGCCATAATAAGTGGTGTCGAATCATTATTATCACCCCTCGTTACCTGTGCCCCTTTACTAACGAGATACTCAACTACATCAAGATGACCCTCGTGTGATGCATCTTGAAGTGGTTTCAAACCATTATTATCACCCCTCTCTACCTCTGCTCCTTGACTAACGAGGTACTGAACTACATCAAGATGACCTCCGAGTGATGCAAAATGAAGTGGTGTCGTACCATTATTATTACCCCTCGCTACCTGTGCTCCTTGACTAACGAGATACTGAACTACATCAAGATGACCTCCTTGTGATGCAAAATGAAGTGGTGTCGAACCATCATTATTACCCTTCTCTACCTGTGCTCCTTGACTAACGAGGTACTGAATTACATCAAGATGACCTCCTTGTGATGCACTAAGAAGCGGTGTCCAACCATTATTATCACCCTTCTCTACCTGTGCTCCTTGACTAACGAGATACTGAACTACATCAAGATGACCTCCGAGTGATGCAAAATGAAGTGGTGTCGAACCATCATTATCACCCTTCTCTACCTGTGCTCCTTGACTAACGAGATACTGAACTACATCAAGATGACCTCCTTGTGATGCGAAATGAGAAGATGTCGAACCATCATTATTACCCCTCCCTACCTGTGCTCCTTGACTAACGAGATACTGAACTACATCAAGATGACCTCCTTGTGATGCGAAATGAGAAGGTGTCGAACCATCATTATTACCCCTCTCTACCTGTGCTCCTTGACTAACGAGGTACTGAACTACATCAAGATGACCTCCAAGTGAGGCAAAATGAAGTGGTGTTGAACCATTATTATTACCCCTCTCTACCTGTGCTCCTTGACTAACGAGATACTGAACTAAATCAATATGACCTTTGTGTGATGCATCATGAAGTGGTGTCGAACCTTTATTATTACCCCTCTCTACCTGTGCTCCTCGACTAACGAGGTACTGAACTATGTCAAGATGACCTCCTTTTGATGCAAAATGAAGTGGTGTCGAACCATCATTATTACCCCTCTCTACCTGTGCTCCTTGACTAACGAGATACTGAACTACATCAAGATGACCTCCTTGTGATGCGAAATGAGAAGATGTCGAACCATCATTATTACCCCTCCCTTCCTGTGCTCCTTGACTAACGAGATACTGAACTACATCAAGATGACCTCCTTGTGATGCGAAATGAGAAGGTGTCGAACCATCATTATTACCCCTCTCTACCTGTGCTCCTTGACTAACGAGGTACTGAACTACATCAAGATGACCTCCAAGTGAGGCAAAATGAAGTGGTGTTGAACCATTATTATTACCCCTCTCTACCTGTGCTCCTTGACTAACGAGATACTGAACTAAATCAATATGACCTTTGTGTGATGCATCATGAAGTGGTGTCGAACCTTTATTATTACCCCTCTCTACCTGTGCTCCTCGACTAACGAGGTACTGAACTATGTCAAGATGACCTCCTTTTGATGCAAAATGAAGTGGTGTCGAACCATCATTATTACCCCTCTCTACCTGTGCTCCTTGACTAACGAGATACTGAACTACATCAAGATGACCTCCTTGTGATGCAACATGAAGTGGTGTCGAACCATTATTATTACCCCTCTCTACCTGTGCTCCTTGACTAACGAGATACTCAACTACATCAAGATGACCTTCGTGTGATGCATCTTGAAGTGGTTTCAAACCATTTTTATCACCCCTCTCTACCTGTGCTCCTTGACTAACGAGGTACTGTACTACATCAAGATGACCTCCAAGTGATGCAAAATGAAGTGGTGTTGAACCATTATTATTACCCCTCTCTACCTGTGCTCCTTGACTAACGAGGTACTGAACTACATCAAGATGACCTCCGAGTGATGCAAAATGAAGTGGTGTCGTACCATTATTATTACCCCTCGTTACCTGTGCCCCTTTACTAACGAGATACTCAACTACATCAAGATGACCTCCTTGTGATGCAAAATGAAGTGGTGTCGAACCATCATTATTACCCCTCTCTACCTGTGCTCCTTGACTAACGAGATACTGAACTACATCAAGATGACCTCCTTGTGATGCAACATGAAGTGGTGTCGAACCATTATTATTACCCCTCTCTACCTGTGCTCCTTGACTAACGAGATACTCAACTACATCAAGATGACCTTCGTGTGATGCATCTTGAAGTGGTTTCAAACCATTTTTATCACCCCTCTCTACCTGTGCTCCTTGACTAACGAGGTACTGTACTACATCAAGATGACCTCCAAGTGATGCAAAATGAAGTGGTGTTGAACCATTATTATTACCCCTCTCTACCTGTGCTCCTTGACTAACGAGGTACTTAACTACGTTAAGTTGACCTCCTTGCGATGCCATAATAAGTGGTGTCGAACCATTATTATCACCCCTCGTTACCTGTGCCCCTTTACTAACGAGATACTCAACTACATCAAGATGACCCTCGTGTGATGCATCTTGAAGTGGTTTCAAACCATTATTATCACCCCTCTCTACCTCTGCTCCTTGACTAACGAGGTACTGAACTACATCAAGATGACCTCCGAGTGATGCAAAATGAAGTGGTGTTGAACCATTATTATTACCCCTCTCTACCTGTGCTCCTTGACTAACGAGGTACTGAACTACATCAAGATGACCTCCGAGTGATGCAAAATGAAGTGGTGTCGTACCATTATTATTACCCCTCGTTACCTGTGCCCCTTTACTAACGAGATACTCAACTACATCAAGATGACCCTCGTGTGATGCATCTTGAAGTGGTTTCAAACCATTATTATTACCCCTCTCTACCTGTGCTCCTTGACTAACGAGATACTGAACTAAATCAATATGACCTTTGTGTGATGCATCATGAAGTGAAGTCGAACCTTTATTATTACCCCTCTCTACCTGTGCTCCTCGACTAACGAGGTACTGAACTATGTCAAGATGACCTCCTTTTGATGCAAAATGAAGTGGTGTCGAACCGTCATTATTACCCCTCTCTACCTGTGCTCCTTGACTAACGAGATACTGAACTACATCAAGATGACCTCCTTGTGATGCAACATGAAGTGGTGTCGAACCATCATTATTACCCCTCTCTACCTGTGCTCCTTGACTAACGAGATACTCAACTACATCAAGATGACCTTCGTGTGATGCATCTTGAAGTGGTTTCAAACCATTTTTATCACCCCTCTCTACCTGTGCTCCTTGACTAACGAGGTACTGAACTACATCAAAATGACCTTCGTGTGATGCAAAATGAAGTGGTGTCGTACCTTTATTATTACCCCTCTCTACCTGTGCTCCTTGACTAACGAGATACTGAACTACATCAAGATGACCTTCGTGTGATGCATCATGAAGTGGTGTCGAACCATTTTTATCACCCCTCTCTACCTGTGCTCCTTGACTAACGAGGTACTGTACTACATCAAGATGACCTCCAAGTGATGCAAAATGAAGTGGTGTTGAACCATTATTATTACCCCTCTCTACCTGTGCTCCTTGACTAACGAGGTACTGAACTACATCAAGATGACCTCCGAGTGATGCAAAATGAAGTGGTGTCGTACCATTATTATTACCCCTCGTTACCTGTGCCCCTTTACTAACGAGATACTCAACTACATCAAGATGACCCTCGTGTGATGCATCTTGAAGTGGTTTCAAACCATTATTATCACCCCTCTCTACCTCTGCTCCTTGATTAACGAGGTACTGAACTACGTCAAGATGACCTCCTTTTGATGCAAAATGAAGTGGTGTCGAACCATTATTATTACCCCTCACTACCTGTGCTCCTTGACTAACGAGGTACTTAACTACGTTAAGTTGACCTCCTTGCGATGCCATAATAAGTGGTGTCGAACCATTATTATCACCCCTCGTTACCTGTGCCCCTTTACTAACGAGATACTCAACTACATCAAGATGACCCTCGTGTGATGCATCTTGAAGTGGTTTCAAACCATTATTATCACCCCTCTCTACCTCTGCTCCTTGACTAACGAGGTACTGAACTACATCAAGATGACCTCCGAGTGATGCAAAATGAAGTGGTGTCGTACCATTATTATTACCCCTCGCTACCTGTGCTCCTTGACTAACGAGATACTGAACTACATCAAGATGACCTCCTTGTGATGCAAAATGAAGTGGTGTCGAACCATCATTATTACCCTTCTCTACCTGTGCTCCTTGACTAACGAGGTACTGAATTACATCAAGATGACCTCCTTGTGATGCACTAAGAAGCGGTGTCCAACCATTATTATCACCCTTCTCTACCTGTGCTCCTTGACTAACGAGATACTGAACTACATCAAGATGACCTCCGAGTGATGCAAAATGAAGTGGTGTCGAACCATCATTATCACCCTTCTCTACCTGTGCTCCTTGACTAACGAGATACTGAACTACATCAAGATGACCTCCTTGTGATGCGAAATGAGAAGATGTCGAACCATCATTATTACCCCTCCCTACCTGTGCTCCTTGACTAACGAGATACTGAACTACATCAAGATGACCTCCTTGTGATGCGAAATGAGAAGGTGTCGAACCATCATTATTACCCCTCTCTACCTGTGCTCCTTGACTAACGAGGTACTGAACTACATCAAGATGACCTCCAAGTGAGGCAAAATGAAGTGGTGTTGAACCATTATTATTACCCCTCTCTACCTGTGCTCCTTGACTAACGAGATACTGAACTAAATCAATATGACCTTTGTGTGATGCATCATGAAGTGGTGTCGAACCTTTATTATTACCCCTCTCTACCTGTGCTCCTCGACTAACGAGGTACTGAACTATGTCAAGATGACCTCCTTTTGATGCAAAATGAAGTGGTGTCGAACCATCATTATTACCCCTCTCTACCTGTGCTCCTTGACTAACGAGATACTGAACTACATCAAGATGACCTCCTTGTGATGCGAAATGAGAAGATGTCGAACCATCATTATTACCCCTCCCTTCCTGTGCTCCTTGACTAACGAGATACTGAACTACATCAAGATGACCTCCTTGTGATGCGAAATGAGAAGGTGTCGAACCATCATTATTACCCCTCTCTACCTGTGCTCCTTGACTAACGAGGTACTGAACTACATCAAGATGACCTCCAAGTGAGGCAAAATGAAGTGGTGTTGAACCATTATTATTACCCCTCTCTACCTGTGCTCCTTGACTAACGAGATACTGAACTAAATCAATATGACCTTTGTGTGATGCATCATGAAGTGGTGTCGAACCTTTATTATTACCCCTCTCTACCTGTGCTCCTCGACTAACGAGGTACTGAACTATGTCAAGGTGACCTCCTTTTGATGCAAAATGAAGTGGTGTCGAACCATCATTATTACCCCTCTCTACCTGTGCTCCTTGACTAACGAGATACTGAACTACATCAAGATGACCTCCTTGTGATGCAACATGAAGTGGTGTCGAACCATTATTATTACCCCTCTCTACCTGTGCTCCTTGACTAACGAGATACTCAACTACATCAAGATGACCTTCGTGTGATGCATCTTGAAGTGGTTTCAAACCATTTTTATCACCCCTCTCTACCTGTGCTCCTTGACTAACGAGGTACTGTACTACATCAAGATGACCTCCAAGTGATGCAAAATGAAGTGGTGTTGAACCATTATTATTACCCCTCTCTACCTGTGCTCCTTGACTAACGAGGTACTGAACTACATCAAGATGACCTCCGAGTGATGCAAAATGAAGTGGTGTCGTACCATTATTATTACCCCTCGTTACCTGTGCCCCTTTACTAACGAGATACTCAACTACATCAAGATGACCTCCTTGTGATGCAAAATGAAGTGGTGTCGAACCATCATTATTACCCCTCTCTACCTGTGCTCCTTGACTAACGAGATACTGAACTACATCAAGATGACCTCCTTGTGATGCAACATGAAGTGGTGTCGAACCATTATTATTACCCCTCTCTACCTGTGCTCCTTGACTAACGAGATACTCAACTACATCAAGATGACCTTCGTGTGATGCATCTTGAAGTGGTTTCAAACCATTTTTATCACCCCTCTCTACCTGTGCTCCTTGACTAACGAGGTACTGTACTACATCAAGATGACCTCCAAGTGATGCAAAATGAAGTGGTGTTGAACCATTATTATTACCCCTCTCTACCTGTGCTCCTTGACTAACGAGGTACTTAACTACGTTAAGTTGACCTCCTTGCGATGCCATAATAAGTGGTGTCGAACCATTATTATCACCCCTCGTTACCTGTGCCCCTTTACTAACGAGATACTCAACTACATCAAGATGACCCTCGTGTGATGCATCTTGAAGTGGTTTCAAACCATTATTATCACCCCTCTCTACCTCTGCTCCTTGACTAACGAGGTACTGAACTACATCAAGATGACCTCCGAGTGATGCAAAATGAAGTGGTGTTGAACCATTATTATTACCCCTCTCTACCTGTGCTCCTTGACTAACGAGGTACTGAACTACATCAAGATGACCTCCGAGTGATGCAAAATGAAGTGGTGTCGTACCATTATTATTACCCCTCGTTACCTGTGCCCCTTTACTAACGAGATACTCAACTACATCAAGATGACCCTCGTGTGATGCATCTTGAAGTGGTTTCAAACCATTATTATTACCCCTCTCTACCTGTGCTCCTCGACTAACGAGGTACTGAACTATGTCAAGATGACCTCCTTTTGATGCAAAATGAAGTGGTGTCGAACCATCATTATTACCCCTCTCTACCTGTGCTCCTTGACTAACGAGATACTGAACTACATCAAGATGACCTCCTTGTGATGCGAAATGAGAAGATGTCGAACCATCATTATTACCCCTCCCTTCCTGTGCTCCTTGACTAACGAGATACTGAACTACATCAAGATGACCTCCTTGTGATGCAAAATGAAGTGGTGTTGAACCATTATTATTACCCCTCTCTACCTGTGCTCCTTGACTAACGAGGTACTGAACTACATCAAGATGACCTCCGAGTGATGCAAAATGAAGTGGTGTTGAACCATTATTATTACCCCTCTCTACCTGTGCTCCTTGACTAACGAGATACTGAACTAAATCAATATGACCTTTGTGTGATGCATCATGAAGGGGTGTCGAACCTTTATTATTACCCCTCTCTACCTGTGCTCCTCGACTAACGAGGTACTGAACTATGTCAAGATGACCTCCTTGTGATGCAAAATGAAGTGGTGTCGAACCATCATTATTACCCCTCTCTACCTGTGCTCCTTGACTAACGAGATACTGAACTACATCAAGATGACCTCCTTGTGATGCAACATGAAGTGGTGTCGAACCATTATTATTACCCCTCTCTACCTGTGCTCCTTGACTAACGAGATACTCAACTACATCAAGATGACCTTCGTGTGATGCATCTTGAAGTGGTTTCAAACCATTTTTATCACCCCTCTCTACCTGTGCTCCTTGACTAACGAGGTACTGTACTACATCAAGATGACCTCCAAGTGATGCAAAATGAAGTGGTGTTGAACCATTATTATTACCCCTCTCTACCTGTGCTCCTTGACTAACGAGGTACTGAACTACATCAAGATGACCTCCGAGTGATGCAAAATGAAGTGGTGTCGTACCATTATTATTACCCCTCGTTACCTGTGCCCCTTTACTAACGAGATACTCAACTACATCAAGATGACCTCCTTGTGATGCAACATGAAGTGGTGTCGAACCATTATTATTACCCCTCTCTACCTGTGCTCCTTGACTAACGAGATACTCAACTACATCAAGATGACCTTCGTGTGATGCATCTTGAAGGGGTGTCGAACCTTTATTATTACCCCTCTCTACCTGTGCTCCTCGACTAACGAGGTACTGAACTATGTCAAGATGACCTCCTTGTGATGCAAAATGAAGTGGTGTCGAACCATCATTATTACCCCTCTCTACCTGTGCTCCTTGACTAACGAGATACTGAACTACATCAAGATGACCTCCTTGTGATGCAACATGAAGTGGTGTCGAACCATTATTATTACCCCTCTCTACCTGTGCTCCTTGACTAACGAGATACTCAACTACATCAAGATGACCTTCGTGTGATGCATCTTGAAGTGGTTTCAAACCATTTTTATCACCCCTCTCTACCTGTGCTCCTTGACTAACGAGGTACTGTACTACATCAAGATGACCTCCAAGTGATGCAAAATGAAGTGGTGTCGAACCATTATTATTACCCCTCACTACCTGTGCTCCTTGACTAACGAGGTACTTAACTACGTTAAGTTGACCTCCTTGCGATGCCATAATAAGTGGTGTCGAACCATTATTATCACCCCTCGTTACCTGTGCCCCTTTACTAACGAGATACTCAACTACATCAAGATGACCCTCGTGTGATGCATCTTGAAGTGGTTTCAAACCATTATTATCACCCCTCTCTACCTCTGCTCCTTGACTAACGAGGTACTGAACTACATCAAGATGACCTCCGAGTGATGCAAAATGAAGTGGTGTTGAACCATTATTATTACCCCTCTCTACCTGTGCTCCTTGACTAACGAGGTACTGAACTACATCAAGATGACCTCCGAGTGATGCAAAATGAAGTGGTGTCGTACCATTATTATTACCCCTCGTTACCTGTGCCCCTTTACTAACGAGATACTCAACTACATCAAGATGACCCTCGTGTGATGCATCTTGAAGTGGTTTCAAACCATTATTATTACCCCTCTCTACCTGTGCTCCTCGACTAACGAGGTACTGAACTATGTCAAGATGACCTCCTTTTGATGCAAAATGAAGTGGTGTCGAACCATCATTATTACCCCTCTCTACCTGTGCTCCTTGACTAACGAGATACTGAACTACATCAAGATGACCTCCTTGTGATGCGAAATGAGAAGATGTCGAACCATCATTATTACCCCTCCCTTCCTGTGCTCCTTGACTAACGAGATACTGAACTACATCAAGATGACCTCCTTGTGATGCAAAATGAAGTGGTGTTGAACCATTATTATTACCCCTCTCTACCTGTGCTCCTTGACTAACGAGGTACTGAACTACATCAAGATGACCTCCGAGTGATGCAAAATGAAGTGGTGTTGAACCATTATTATTACCCCTCTCTACCTGTGCTCCTTGACTAACGAGATACTGAACTAAATCAATATGACCTTTGTGTGATGCATCATGAAGGGGTGTCGAACCTTTATTATTACCCCTCTCTACCTGTGCTCCTCGACTAACGAGGTACTGAACTATGTCAAGATGACCTCCTTTTGATGCAAAATGAAGTGGTGTCGAACCATCATTATTACCCCTCTCTACCTGTGCTCCTTGACTAACGAGATACTGAACTACATCAAGATGACCTCCTTGTGATGCGAAATGAGAAGATGTCGAACCATCATTATTACCCCTCCCTTCCTGTGCTCCTTGACTAACGAGATACTGAACTACATCAAGATGACCTCCTTGTGATGCGAAATGAGAAGGTGTCGAACCATCATTATTACCCCTCTCTACCTGTGCTCCTTGACTAACGAGGTACTGAACTACATCAAGATGACCTCCAAGTGAGGCAAAATGAAGTGGTGTTGAACCATTATTATTACCCCTCTCTACCTGTGCTCCTTGACTAACGAGATACTGAACTAAATCAATATGACCTTTGTGTGATGCATCATGAAGTGGTGTCGAACCTTTATTATTACCCCTCTCTACCTGTGCTCCTCGACTAACGAGGTACTGAACTATGTCAAGATGACCTCCTTTTGATGCAAAATGAAGTGGTGTCGAACCATCATTATTACCCCTCTCTACCTGTGCTCCTTGACTAACGAGATACTGAACTACATCAAGATGACCTCCTTGTGATGCAACATGAAGTGGTGTCGAACCATTATTATTACCCCTCTCTACCTGTGCTCCTTGACTAACGAGATACTCAACTACATCAAGATGACCTTCGTGTGATGCATCTTGAAGTGGTTTCAAACCATTTTTATCACCCCTCTCTACCTGTGCTCCTTGACTAACGAGGTACTGTACTACATCAAGATGACCTCCAAGTGATGCAAAATGAAGTGGTGTTGAACCATTATTATTACCCCTCTCTACCTGTGCTCCTTGACTAACGAGGTACTGAACTACATCAAGATGACCTCCGAGTGATGCAAAATGAAGTGGTGTCGTACCATTATTATTACCCCTCGTTACCTGTGCCCCTTTACAAACGAGATACTCAACTACATCAAGATGACCTCCTTGTGATGCAACATGAAGTGGTGTCGAACCATTATTATTACCCCTCTCTACCTGTGCTCCTTGACTAACGAGATACTCAACTACATCAAGATGACCTTCGTGTGATGCATCTTGAAGTGGTTTCAAACCATTTTTATCACCCCTCTCTACCTGTGCTCCTTGACTAACGAGGTACTGTACTACATCAAGATGACCTCCAAGTGATGCAAAATGAAGTGGTTTCGAACCATTATTATTACCCCTCACTACCTGTGCTCCTTGACTAACGAGGTACTTAACTACGTTAAGTTGACCTCCTTGCGATGCCATAATAAGTGGTGTCGAACCATTATTATCACCCCTCGTTACCTGTGCCCCTTTACTAACGAGATACTCAACTACATCAAGATGACCCTCGTGTGATGCATCTTGAAGTGGTTTCAAACCATTATTATCACCCCTCTCTACCTCTGCTCCTTGACGAACGAGGTACTGAACTACATCAAGATGACCTCCAAGTGATGCAAAATGAAGTGGTGTTGAACCATTATTATTACCCCTCTCTACCTGTGCTCCTTGACTAACGAGGTACTGAACTACATCAAGATGACCTCCTTGTGATGCGAAATGAAGTGGTGTCGAACCATCATTATTACCCCTCTCTACATGTGCTCCTTGACTAACGAGATACTCAACTTCATGACAACGACCATTTTCAGCTGCCGTAAGAAGGGCTATATCCAAATTAGCAGGCTCATTTGCTACTCTTTCAGCCATTTTTTCTTAAAATCTATAAACCCCCATTTTTAAGCAAATCTGAATTTCTTATGAATATTTCTTCGTAAAGTAATTAGACCTAATATTTCATGTTTGTCAAAGTCACCTTAGCGTTTTGTTAATCGTTCTTGGAAGAGACTAAACACGTCAATGAAGTTACCCGCTTTACATATCTTTCTCTATTGCCCTTCAGGTTTAAACTATTCGAATCCTGCTCATGATTATGCGTTATTACGGCTAAGGAATAATTTAAATTTGATAAAAAGTAATGTGAGCATAATTCCAATTCTATAATTAAAGATTCCGTCTTGAAAAGTCCTGGCGCTGTCAGTACAAGTTTGATATCTCCACTTTATTGGTCTGATTTCTTCACATAAACCAACGTGCTCCGGTTCATCCAAATATAACATCAAAGGTATGTTACTTCAAAATGAAATTGTAGATTTTCCAACCAGTTCACAAATCATTGCATAAAAATGTTCCACGAAAAAAAAAACGCTCGGAATTCTTCTTAAAATCTAGCTCTCTGCTTTTTATCTGAAGAATCTACCTTGTGTGTGAGGGTATATTACACAAAGGTAAGAGCTTCACAAGGGTAGCAACTAAGTAATTCATGTTAGTGTGCTTAGAGTTTCCCGATCAAACTAACCGATGAAACAGACATTGAGAAAATGGCGGATCCTTTTGAGAGAAACAGGCGTTGTTAAATAGAACATCATCTTAACAGTACGTCATCATGACCTCATCTAGGCTTCGATGGAAGGTAATGCAAAAGTACATGAAAAGAGAAAACATGCATGGTTGACTAATTAGTTCCTACGGGGCAAAGTAGGTTTTTTTTAGACATGGAATGTTGTAAAATGTCGCTGGGTATCAACGTGTTCGGGCACCTCTCTGCACAATTGCTAGATGGACCACCTTGAAATTATGCTACTGAAATTTATTTTCGGAAAATGACCGCCATGTAATATTCTACATTTAAGCGATTTTGGGTATTACTTTTTAAGGGAACTTCGTGTTATCATGTGTGGGGTGTCATATATAAGAAAATTCAATTTCCCACAAGATAGTATTACATTCAATAGGTTCAGGTATAAATTGCATAATAAATGTGAGCCATAAATTTTGAATTGTTATACTTTTCCCAAAAATTATGAATTTCCCCAAAATACATTCTTTTCCATATTCTAAAGAATAATGATGACTAAGGTATTTAAGATTACTATTTTTTTGATGAAGTAAATTAGAAATTAGATTACATTAGATGGGGGACTTGTAACTGTAAACGAATTTTATCACCGCTATTTGGAGGGGCCCGTTCCGTTTACCCCTTTAAAGCGACACCACCTATATCTTAAACAATCTGTCTATATCTCAAATCAGACGCAACTTCGGAAACCCGAGTACAGGCAAATACAGTGGGTGAATAGAGCGTGTCCAACGTTTAATGCAACTCAGTCTGTACGTTAAAACAGGGGGAAATCTTTTAAAGTCAACCTACTGTCGACATTGACTTTTGGAAAATAATGTTATGGTTAAATTATGTTCAAAAGCCAAGTAGGATTAGTCAGGTAAAGATTCTTCCAAATGACAAAAATATGAAATAAATATATTAACATCATTATTTTTAAAGTTATTTAAAAAAAATTCTAGTGCCTTTTGTTCACACCACCGCGCAATGAACAATGTGTTCATATATTTTTTCCGAGTATTTGCCTGTAGTCGTTTTCCTCGGTCGGATTGGCCTTCTAATCATTTTCATCTCACTTATACAGAAAACAGATTATTTGTGAATACACATACCTTCGTCTAGGTGATCTAGAAGCTTGCCTTGCATTCACCTGTTGGTTTTACTGCCTATGAAATAATACAAAATTGATTCTTGTCCCGTGACTAATCCACAGAGAATAGACTTGTCCGTACTCCTTGTCTTAAGACAATTTCGGAAAATAACAAGATGTTTCAGATAGTGACGGCCTACGTGCATGACGTGTCTGAGTATGATAAACATCAGATGGGTGTCAGTGCCACTAATTACATATCTTAAATCATGACCAAAGTGCATATTGAAATAATTATTCTTGATATCTGTCATGAAAGGAATTTTTTCCAGGCGAGGAGGGAAATGTACTACTCAAAGGAAATGTACTACTCAAGGGTCAGATAGAGGTAGCCAAGCGTAGGATGCATTATTGCATACATTTGCATTTAACATGTATAGTATATGGGGTTTTGTTATGCATGATTTGGGGTTGGCTATTGATTGTAGAGAGAAATAGAAATAGCTTGCATACCCAGGAGGTTTTGAATGTTAAGGACCTGGAAAAGAAAGGGGAAAGGGAAGTTGCTGTAGAATAATGGGCAGAACCCTTCAAGTCAGTGCTACGGTGCAGACGTTTAATGCACGAGGTAGTTTTTATTTATATTAGTGGGAGGAACATTATTCTTGAGAAAGACTTTTTACGTCGGGGATTCTACGCAGTCTAGAGACTGGCCAAGCGACCAGGGAATTCATCGACGGAGATCGAGATAAGCTGTCAAGTCGACGGGGATTCTACGCAGTCTAGAGACTGGCCAAGCGACAAGGACCAGGAGGGACTCACGAGATGGAAGCTGCCCTGTTATAAAGTTATGTTCCATTAAATTGTTTATGTGCTGTTGATGATTTTTTGACGCCACGATTTGTAGGCTGAATATTAAACTTTTATTTAAACTTATACAATTGTGTTCTGGTGTGGTTTTCTGATGAGGTAGCAGTGTAAATAATTAAAAAACAGTCGCTCACGTGACAATTTGGAGGTCCCACCGAGACCCAACTGCTACTTTATTGGAAAGGATTGGGAAATATTACCCTCAGTTCATATTGTGATTTATGTGAAGTGGTTCTCCCAAGGTGTGCATTGAAGCATGGTTCAAGCCTTGGTACATTATTGTGCTCTCTATACTTGCACATTAATGCATGGACGTTAAGTCAGGCAAGGCTTTAAGCTATTGCAGTTAGGATAGGACAGCTAATTATTGACGGATTTGTCGCGCTGCGAGGATTAGGACATAGGTCGTTTGTCGCCCGAAAAGACAGCGTTTAGGTAAAGGCTAATATACAAAAAGCTTTACAGGGCTGTTGGTCGACGGGATAGCGAATGTGTCGGGAAGAACTATTGTTCTTAGTTCTAACATAATTACTGTCTATTCTGGTATAACTGGTTGATTAGCACGATGGCTAGTATTGAGAAAATCAAAGAATTTTCTTCTCTAGGTAGAGAGATCGGGCTCACTGGAAGTGAGTTGAATAGTTTCGTGTCGGCTCGTTGTAATGAGGTTACTGAACGCGAGAAAGAGGCTCTTGAACGTGAGAGAGAGCGGGAGAAAGAGGCTCATGAACATGAGAGAGAGCGGGAGAAAGAGGCTCATGAATTGCGCTTAGCTCAACTAAAGGCAGAGCAAGCGAAAACGGAAGAGCGCCTTCCAGAGTTTGGTGGGCTAAGATTGAAAGTTGGCAAATTCGATGAAAACACTGATAATTTTGATTCGTATATTACGAAATTTGAATTGATGATGGAGAGTCAACGTGTTCCTGATCATTTGAAGTGTTTGCATTTGATTGCCAATTTGACTGGCAAATCACTTGATGTTGTCAATAGGATGAGTGGTGTTGATCGCACTAACTATGGAAAGGTAAAGCGAGAGATTATGGAATATTTCCATTTGACTGAGGAGGGGTATAAGAAGAAGTTTAGGTCGGCTAGGCCGAGTAAGGATGAACGCCCCAAACAGTTTGCTGTGAGGATGAAGGGGTATTTTGACAAGTGGCTGGAAATGTCTAATATCCAGGAGAATTACGAGTCTTTGGTTGATTTGGTAATGCGAGAGCAATTTGTAAATTGTTGTCCCAGAGAGGTAGTCGGATTCTTGAAAGAGAGGAAGTGTGGAAAGTTGGATGAAATGATTGAAAGTGCTGAAGTATACGTGCATGCACATGGATTGCACACTTTCTCGAGTAATCCTAGAAGCGATAGATTCCATCCAAGTCAAAACCAGAAACAAAACCAAAGACCTGAACCTAAATCAGTCTCTGTCACACAAACAGACAAGAAAACCAAGTCTGCTAGTTCAGTGAGATATGGTAGTAGTGGTGGTGGTACAGGAGTAGAGCGTGGCTGTTA